TGGGATGATAAGAGCCTGGATTTCTCCAGGAAACCTTAGAGCATTCAGTGACTGGCAATAATCTGGGCTCCTGCCTTCACCTCCTTGCCACTGGAAGCATCACACAATTTAGCTCTCACCTCTCCTGCAACTTTGCCTGTGGCAGTTCCAGCCCTTGGAAGTCCCACAGAATAGATGGCCATTGCACAAATAGTCTTGAATTGTTTGTTGATGACAATTGACCTTGTCCCCCACACAATCCAATTTCTATGGACAGTATTCAGGGGCCCCACTGCATCTTGAATATGTTCAGTGCATAAACCAGATCTCCAGAGACACAACTGCAGTCTCAATCATTGACTCCCTAGTGGTTTCACATTATATGTTGGTTGTCTGGCTGATGCATTACTTTCAGCAACAGGATTTATGAAAAAAAAAAAGCTTCAAATTTACATAACTATGTAGCATAGAGGTAAAACATGCAGACTCTGGAGCTTAACTACATCGGTTCACATCCCACCTCTGCTCCCTGCAAGTTGTATAAAATTGGAAAAGTTATGGGGGTCTCTGTATCTCCCACTAAGAGGGAATAATAACAGTACCTACCTCATAGTGTTACCATAAGAATGAAAAGAGAGTGCTTGTCAAAAGATTTGAAAAGCTACTTCATCAAAGAAGATACACAGGTGGCAAGTAAGTGTACAAAAAGAGCCTCAGCATCATTAGTTTTAGGAAAATGAAAATTGAAACCACAATGAGAGACCACACCTACTAGAACTTAAAAAGTTAAACAAAATACTCTTTTACTCCTACGTATTTACCCCAAAGGAGAGGAAATACATTCCCACACAAGGGCTTGTACATGAATATATCATGCAGTTTTATATGTAATAGCCAAAAACTATAAACAATTCAAATGTCCATCAGTAATTGACTGGGGACAATAAAAGGATAAACCACTGATACAACTACATGAATAAATATGAAAATAGTTATGTGAAAGAATAAAGACCATAGATTGTATAATATACATTTATATAACATTATGAAGAATACAAACTAGACTATAGTTTCAGAAAGCTGATTAGTAGTTTATTGGGAATGGAAGAGGGAAGGTTGAGAGCATGAGGTAACACAGAGTGTAAGGAAACTTTGGGTGCATAGATAGGCTCACTCTCTTGATTGTGGTGGTGTTTTCACAAATATACACGTCAGAACATATTGAATTACACACTTTAAATAGATGTGGTTTGTTATATGCCAATTGTGCCTTAATAATTCTGTTTTTTAAAATGAGCACCACGATACAGCAGGCCTTCCAAAAGTGTTAGTTGTTACTGACTTTATGATAGGCTAAAAATGTTTTAGATGATATTTTTTAAAAGCTTCTCATCAGAAGCAATAGTCAATGATTGACTCTCACCATCACACTGTAATCCAGCTGCCTTTTTCCTTTCCTTCTAAGGATGCTCATGAATTGAGGAAAGTAGTCCGGACTTTTAGGTCAGAAGGCATGAGTTCAAGTGCCCACTCTGACGTTCAGTACCTTGTGCTGATATTTAGCTTTGACTTTTATCATTTGTAAAATAGTATACATCTACATCACATGATTGCTATAAGAATCAAATTTTAAAAATGGATGTGAGCATGTTCTGTAAACTATAAAGCAATGTGAATATATCCGTCATTACAACTGGGGAAGAGATAAGATAAGCATTCACATTTTGCAGACTGGATAAAAGAGGATAAGCAAGATTAAAATAAAACTTGACCTCACACGAGAGCACAAGCTAGACCCTACATCTCCTCATTTCCCCTAGATGGAAATTCTCTACAACATTTTTTTTAAAAGTAGATATCTGGGTCCTACCCTATAGTGATGAAATCAGAATCACCTGGGGTTAGGAAACAGGAATCTGAATTTTAAAGAAAGTTCTCCCAGTTGATTAGGATCCAGCTGATCATTCCACCGGTAAGCAAATGATGTTTTGGAAAAAACTGTCTTGACCCTAATGCCTCTCAATGAGAAACAAACAATCCTAGGCCCTCTTGCTCATGTGAAACCTGGATTTAGCCACCAGAAAAAATAATTTTCCATAATAACTGGAAATGCAAAATATTCTAAAACATCTTTTGAATATGCATTTATTATTGCAAGCACTTCCCTTATCATCATTTTCCTGAGCAGTTATATTCAGGATTCTTACTGGCTTTCTGATTATCCTTGGAAATTATCTGTCTTGCTAATGCAAATATTTATCACTTAATGTCTTTCCATCTTGTCATTTCCCTCAAAAAACCAAGTCTCTCAGTGCTGGCAGCTTACCTTGCATAGTGTGTCTGAGGTGTGTGGCTTGATGCCAACATGACTTTATATCTATAAGAGAATGCCATTGGAAAATCAAGAAGTGAGAAGAAAAGTACCAGATTTGGTGCACATCACTTATTTGTGCTCTTTGGGGTGGTGAAAGGAGAATAACAAAGACTAGAGTTTCCATCACCTGTCTTCTATCATCTAACCCTACTCAGCACTCCCTTCCAACATGGAGTGAAGGTGCCTTTTCTGTGTCTTGAGGATGTCAAACTCACCCACAACATACTTCTTGGGGGTTATTTCCAAATCCTCTATCAGAAGATACAAAATGAATGTAATTAAACCTCTTATCATATGGTTCATTATTCCATGAATTTGGACCAGATGTTGCAAAAATGCCTCTAGGGGCCAGGCAGAGAAGTTCAATGAGGAAGAAGGGCCTGGAAGTTGCTGTGAGAAGCAAAGAGTAAATGCTTTGTCTGGATGGAATAGTCTCCAATTGTTGCCACGAAGAAATGTGGCCCACGGTTGCCAGATATCCCAATTGTTTTCTAAAGGAAGGCTAATAAAAAAGCCACCTTATTAAGTGGGAAAATGCAGGGAAAAACACTTTGGGTAGGACAAATAAAATACCTTCAAGTCGGCTTACGCTTGCAGACTGCCAGTCTGTGATCTTGAATTTCCGTTACTCAAAACTATTATCCCTGAACAACAGAAAAAATTATGCTGATAGAGTGAATTCTTGTACCTGTACAATCATCCAGTGGCATAATCAGTCTCATCGCCCTCTGAATAAACATTGCATAAGAATATAAAATTTAGCTCAAATGGAAGCTGGGTCTTCCTTGTGAAGCTGGAACAGTCAGATAACCATTGGTGTGAACAATAACTTGTGAACTTTTAATCAGCAATGGGCTGGAGATTGGTTTTCTGTATACCTATTTATTGGACAGGGACATAATCAGAATGACAATCTTTTCCTTCCAACCCATATTTTCCATCCAACCAGTAATGGCAGGCAGTGTTCCTTAAAGGACTTTTTTCTCTCGCACATATCCCTGCATAGGAAGGGCTAGGGCTGGAGACAAAGCACTGAAATGAAGAATGTCAGGTGACTAGAACAAATATCAAATTTTCTTTGCTAGGTAACGTAGACACGCATAATATGGTTAAGAACTGCTCTCCCTTTATTGAGAGACTGTTTTCCTTTACTCATATGAAAGTGAGGTAAATGTTTTTCATCGTTTGTGCTAAAAAATATCAGAAAGCATCCAATAAACCATGTTTCTATTTGAAAGCTGACAGTATATAGAGGCTCCAGTTGATTTGTAAAATAGGAAGGATGAGTATCTCCAGTACAGAGAAGCTATAGAATCTTAGGCTAGCTGTAACTTAGTCTTGAAAGGCTTCACAGAATATAAATGGTTTTGTATATTTTTACTTGTGACAAGTATATAGGAAAAGAAGCTTAGTTATAAGGATCCTAGCAGAAAACAAATGGCATACCGAGACAGTTTAACCTAAAGGGCTAAACTCTTTACAGGGAAATGGGCAGGGTTAGAAGAGCCAACAAAGAAAGTGAGGCATCCGGGACATCAGAGATAACAACAACAGGAAGCCATTACTACTCCTCAATGTGCAGGGTCAAGAGAGAGGGACTGTGTTACCAAATCCCAGCAAAAGCTCCCTGTGCAGAAGGAAGTCTGCTAGCACAGTGTGTGTGGGTAGAGACCTGCCTGCACCTCTCTGTTCCCTCATTCTCTGATCTCCTGCCAAGTTCTCCATTTGGCTGACTCCAACCAGAACCCAGAGCGTAAGGGTGCCAGGAAAATCAATCTATGACATCAGCTTCACATGTCACAGAATAGTGCAGAAAATGTCAGAGATGTATAAATATCTGAGAGAGGGGGACAACTGAAAAACTATTATCACGGAAGACAAAGGAAATCATAGCTCATTGAATGTTAGAGCAGAAAGGAACTTTTTATTCTCTAATCTAATCTTTCATGGGTTGATGAGAAAACTGAGGCCCAGGGAATTGAAATGAATGGGTGAACACTATACACTTAATAAAGGGCATGCTTGAGATGAAAGGCAGTTATCATCTTATCTATTCTCACGGTTTTTCTACTTCATTATGCTGGATATCATGGTGAGGAAACTCAGGGTAGAGTTGCCTAAAATGAGACACCTACATAGCAGTTTCTCCATTACTGTGCCCATCAAACATCACTAATCAATTACAGATTTCTTTCCTCCTGAGCCTAGATGTGACCTCAGGCACATTAGGCAGGGCAAGGTTGAATCAATCATGAAATGCATCAATCAATCATTTATGCACCTGCATAAATCCAGTGTACTCAAAATTTTTTACTGTGCATAATGTTCACCCACTCATTTCAATTCCCTGGACCTCAGTTTTCTCATCAACAACATGACACAATAATATAATGATACAATTTTGTATAATACAAACTCATACAATGAGCTCTAAATCTTCAAGTTATTTACATGTCTAATATTATTTTCTTCCCTAAAACTCAACTCATTCTCTGAAGATATTGCCTGTCCTTTGCACTTTCAGACTGCCTACCTGATGACTTGGTGGGGAACATTTATGGTTGGGAAGAAGAGAAGCGGCCTGAGGTGAATTTGCTTGAAGGGTAATAATCGAAAAAAGTTCTAATCTCTTTCTCTCTCCTTGCAGGTTGACAGGACTGAGGTGATTCGCACCTGCATAAACCCAGTGTACTCGAAACTGTTTACTGTGGACTTTTACTTTGAGGAGGTTCAGCGCCTGCGGTTTGAAGTCCATGACATCAGCAGCAACCACAATGGGCTGAAGGAGGCCGACTTCCTTGGTGGCATGGAGTGCACACTTGGCCAGGTAGGTCAACAGACATCCCTTCCTTTTCCTTGACACCTTAGGGCCTTTCTTCCTTCCCCTTTGCCCTCTCTCCCCTTATCTAATTCTTGCTTTTTCCTGTTGATTGTATTTTCTTTAACATGTAGCGTTTTATGACTTCCCAGGTGGTATCATATCCATTATGTTTATGTAGAGATGATTCTGCAAGTCTGTACAATTTCTTACTTTGAAAAATTGGTAATTTTCTCTTCTTGATTCCCCCACTGTGTCAGTCATTTATTCAGCAGCTATTATTGAGCACGTATGTGTCCGGCTCTATGCTCTGTTCATGTGTTTGCTATAGGCTTATCCTGTTCCATTATAAATTTCCATCTCCAACTCAGCTGTGAGAACCCCCATGCAGAAAGTATTTCTCATTCACATTTACTCCACATCTCTGGTACCAAAAATAGCCCAAGGCAGGGGCTAAATAGATGAATAAAGCTCTTCATTCTCCCAATAATAATGTGAAATAAGTATCACTATTATATCCATTTTATCAGTGGGAAAACTGAGACTCAGAGAGGTTAAGTGGTTTGATGAAGACTCCACCCTAATAAGTGGCAGTGTTAGGACCCTACTAGGCCTTCCTGGCTCTAAACTTCATCGTTTTGCTTCTATAATACCTTTCCTTTTTTCCTTCCCTTTCTGTTGTCTACAGAAATGTGGTGAGTCTAAATGAACAACAACAAAAATAAAATAAAATAAAATAAACAGTCCCTGTGCCTGGATAGTGGATAATCTTACTGGAGAAGACATAGTAATATGCACTTCAAATAGAGCAGTTAATTACAAAATACCCTGGGCTTTCTATATAAGGTGATGGACCCTCAAGGAAGAGAGAGCTTCTCTCTACTGGGTGGAGTCAAAGAAGGCACTGTGGGACCAAACTCTGAAAAACACATGGTCTAGGGATTGCAGAAGAAAGAGGAGGGGGCCTTTCAAGTAAGAAAGCAATATGAGCAACTCATAGGGTCAGAACAAATGCGGAGGGGTATGGAGCTGGAAGAGACCATTCTCCCTGACTGAGTCAAGGTCAGGTGCTCATTTACTGTGAAACTGATGAAGTTTAAACTTCAGATCCTGTCTCTCATGTGGGCCCCTTCCAAGGCTCTGTGTCACATTTTTATTTTTTACTTTTTTCTCAAAGAGAGATTTCAAATTATATGTCTAAGACTCACAAAACCTAGGTTCACCTCCTGTCAAGGTAAGGGTCAGGTTTAAGGATTTGTCAGGAAGAGTCTACCTGACAAAGAGATGGCAAGCATTGTGCTTACCTTGTTTCATGCCACTTATCACTAAAATAAATTTCTCCCAGTGAGCACTAAGAGACAAAATAGACAGTGTCCTCAGTTACCCTTTTCCAGCAAATACAGTGATAAATTTTCTTATTCATTTAATGAAAGTCAAAAGCCCAATATTGAAATACAGTGGAGGGAAGGCAGAGAGAGAATCTGAAATATTCTCCATTAATGTATGTTCTCTAATGACTTTTGAAAAGTTGATGGCAGATAGTTCTAGGATCTTGCCAGATGCAATGTCCAGTAAGTAGGTATTAAATGAATGAATACACTGTGGATTTAAGACAAAATCCTGTTTCTACTTAAAATTGATTAAAATGGCATATTTTATAGATATGTGAGCCATGTGAAGATTCTCCCTTAAACAATGGGCATCCCTCCTGTACATAAATGTCATATTCTGTCACAAGAAATAAAGGTAGATCCATGTGGGAATCCATATGGACAAAAGGTCTTTTTTTTCTGGTCCGAAGCTTTAATAATTTTGTCTATTTGAATGACCCTCAAACCTATATCTTTAGTCTCTCACAATGCTTGTCTTTTAAAAGCCAGTAAGTCCTTAACCCTCTACCTTGCAAGTAAGACAGGCATTGTGCTAGGTGCCAGTGACACCTTGGTGAGCCAAAAACATAGTCCTTTCCTTCTAACAGCAGTTTAGTTGGGGATAAAGATGGAATGAAAATAATTACACAACAGTTAATTAAATGGCAACCATTATAAGCTTTGTTACAGAGAAGTGCAGAATAAGAGAGCAAGCATTGGGAGACTGCCATCAGGTGGAGAGGGATCAAAGAAGGCTTTCTAAAAGAAGTGACATTTACACTGACTCGAAGAGAGAATGAGAGTGCCTCAGGTGAGAAGAAAGAGGAAACACATTCTCAGCAGATGGGAACATTATACACAAAGCCTCTGCATTCAGGAAGGAGAGTGGCATATGGTATAGAGAATCTTCATTTAGTTTTTTCAAGAAGCCAACTCTGAGGTAGGAAGTCAAAGGAGGTGAAGGAAACACCACAGTGGAGAGAAAAAGTGAGACAGAAGAAGGAGTCTACAAAGGAAAGTGGCCAGGTAGCTACACCATAGGTACCTGGAGCTTAATTCTGCTGGGAAATTCTGAGAGCAGTGTAATGCAAACATTAGAGATATTTCATCCTAGGGATGAGGGAATTGGGACATTTGTACACCCCGTGTGTATATACTCACATCAGTTGTTAAGAACCATTCCTAAGGTGGGAACGAACATTAATCCTCTGACATTTCTGGCCTACTGTGCAGGTAGCAAATTTCAAATATCACAAAGAGCTCACAAGCAAAGAAATACAGATGCAGGAGGTCGAAGTCAGTGATAGGCACTCAAATCACAAGGCCTGGGAATATGAGCGGGGTGCTGACAGCCTCTGTGGATTGCCTATTTAATACCCTATCACCCACTCTTTTAGCTGTTGACCCTGATCACTTTCTGATCATTTTATATCATGTAGCCATGTAGAAAAGAGCCCTATCCATATCTTAAGAGTGAATCCTGAGTAATTTCAGCTAATCACATGAATCTCATCCCCCACTTGCAAGAGTTTGGTTTAGAGGTAGGCATGTGTCCAGTAAGACCTGTGGATTTTTCTTGGAAAGGTTTCCTAACCTAAAATAAGAGACACACATGAAGAAACAGTTCCTCTTTTCCTGTGATTCCTGGAATCATAACAGCCATCTTGCAGCAAGGCTGAGGATGAGAGCGACCCTTAGGGGAGGTCAGAGCCAAAAGAGGTGAAGCTTGGGGCTAACTAACATTCTTTACCTGGGACCCACTCTATCTATGGATGCCTTATTATGGGAGAATAAAATGTCCTGTCATTGAAGCTCTTTGGGATGGGATTTTTTATTCTTTGAACTAAAATAATCATGATTGATATAGCACATATGAGGAACTAAAAAGAAGATAAGGCTGGCTGGAGTGGGGTGAACAAAGGGAAACTAGGGGGTTGTGTTGGATGAATTTTCTTAATCTCTCAAAAGAAGGAATGTGTAGAAGTGAGCACTGAGAATGCAGTTACAAATAGTCCTTTCAAGATGTTTTTGATACTTTTGAAAGAACTTATATACTGATTATTTCATTTGACCCTCTTGACAGTATAGAAGGACGGAAGTCATTATGTACATTTTATAGTTGAGAAAACTGAAGATCGGAAAGATTTAATGTCTTGACAGAGCCCAAAGCAGAAGTCAGGAGCTTCAGATTCTTAATCCAGAGCTTTCTTTGGCATGGCCTAGGGAAGGATAATGAGCGGAGGCTACCTGTTCTAGAACTCTGGAGATCGTGGCCTAGATGAAGCAATGAGCAGCAGGTGACTTGTTCAGTGTGGCTCTAAACCATGTTTCCCAAGTTGTGCTGATCCACTTTCAGGTGGCATGCTGGCCTTTCTGGATATCTTGCATGTTGATTGGCACCCACCCTCTTATATTGTCAGCCATGTAATTGGTGGGCTTAGCCTTTCCCATGCTTGTGGGGTGGGCACTAATTGGCTTAAATGACTCAGAGTATTATATTTGTCTGGCCACAGTGATTGGTTGAAGGAAAGTCATGGTGACTTTTTTAACACTGTAAGTTTCAGACATTCATTTATTTCTTATGTTAATGGCATAGCAATTGCATGCCAAGCTTTCATAACAAGATTTTAGCAAGTACCCTGGATATGCCGAGTTTATTTGTGCTAGATGCTGGAGACACAGAGAAGAAAAAGAAAGACAGAGGCCCTGCCTGCCTCAGAAAAGCTTTTAATTATCTGAGAGACACAGACTGGTAAATAAGTAATCAGAATGCATATTACTAAGCACTACAATAGAAATATGTTCCAGAAGCTGTAGGGGAAAAGACCTCTCCCTAAAGCAAAGCAGGGGAATCTCACAAGAAAGGTGACTCTGTACCTAAATCCCTAAGGATAGTAGGAATTCACCAACAGAGAAAAGAAATAAGGACTCTTGGGACAAAATGACTGGTACATGAAAAGACACAGCAGCACAAAGGGAGTGACAGAGAACTCCTAAGTGAATCAGCATGGCTGAGCAGTCAAGTGAGGATGTGAAAAGGGTAGAGGATGCCAGACGGAAAAGAAACGGCCTGGTCCTGATGGTTTTAAGTGCTTTCCTCTAAACTCTGGAGAGCCTGGACTTGAAGCATTAAGGTCCTAGTAACTGGGGGAAGGACAAGATTGGATGTGTGTATTAGAAAGATCACTTCAGCTGGGCTTGGTGGCTCACGCCTGTAATCCCAGCTTTGTAGGAGCCCGAGGCAGGCAGATCACAAGGTCAAGAGTTTGAGACCAGCCTGGCCAACATAGTGAAACCCCGGCTGTACTAAAAATACAAAAAAATTAGCTGGGCATGGTGGCCATGGTGGCAGGCATCTGTTGTCCCAGCTACTTGGGAAGGTGAGGCAGGGGAATTGCTTGAACCCAGGAGGTGGAGGTTGCAGTGAGTTGAGATTGTGCTACTGCACTCTAGCCCGGGTGACAGTGCGATACTCCATTTAAAAAAAAACCACTTTGGCATTCCATAAAGGGTGGATGGCAGGGAAACCAATTAGGATACTAGTGCAATCGCAGGAAGGAAATGCAGATGGCTGTAGTTATGGAAACTAAAAAAAGGGGCCCAGAAGAAAGCCTGTTGAAGAGCAGAATCAACAAGCCT